GAAGAGCACCTTTGCCTGCACCAGTGGTGTAAGAGGATGTAAGAGGATGCGAGGACCGAACGTGACGCGCCTTAGTGGGGCCCCGACTTTTGGAGGTCATATTCTACAAAAGTCACGTCTTTGTAGTTAATGTCGACATAGGATTAATCAACCCCCCCCTACAAGGTCAACAAGGTCTGGGTGCAGACCACATCCCCCTAATAAAGATGATGACCTGATGATGGATGATGAGGGGAAGAGGCTGGGCAGGAAGATCCCATATGAGTACACATTGGCTGCACAGATTGCTGCTGGGAAGGATGATAAGAGCAAGCAAAATGATCAGACATGATTGATGGATGACAGGATGAGCATGGGAAAAAGGTGGATCAGAATGCTATATCTCAAAGAGATGGCATGAGACAAGAGGGGATTGGAAGATCAGTTTCACCATGGACCAAAAGATATTGACTACTAAAAAAGTAAAAATATATAAATAGATATAAAACCAATTATATTTTTGTTTGGGGGAGCTGGGCTTGATTAATGGGTGGGTGGAAGTGATTATTAGGGGGAGGTTTGCAGAGATCAAATTAGTATATTATTGGAGGCTTCAGCTGGGCTTGATTAATAGTGGGGGTGGTTAATCCCATGTCAACATTATAATACACAAGTATGATAGCCTGCGCCAGGAGTTTGCAGTAGATGAGGTAGTCAAGGGAGGTGGCAGCATCCCAATGAATGAATCATGCCAAAAGGCGTGGTTCTATATATTGCAGCACACTGTGGATAAATACCCTTTGCAGCTGCAGATGATTCTCTACAGTCTAGCCAGCTGCTTTATGTACCAGGCCATTCTCATTGATACGTAGTCGACTTTGTTTAATTGTTGTTGTGCACTAGGTCCGGAAAGATTCACAAGGCTGCAGGGTTTGTTGTCCTTTCCAAGCCTTTATGACAAGACCACACAAAATGCAGACTTCGACGGAGAGGTGGATGAAGCTTTCAAGGTTGGTTTGCAGTGTTAATCTGCGCATCTCCGTGTCATGGGGAATCTCCAACATGTTTTCAAAGCCAAGGGGTATGAGGGGATTCTCGTTTTGGATGTCCTGACTCGCTCCGGAATTGGTACCCAAAAGAACACCGAACGACGCGGCACTGACCTTGGTGCCTAGATACCATCTACGAGGAGCTTCCAGAGGCGATTGGGGTGAGCAGAGCTGGTGAATTGTGGGAGGGCATTATTTCTCCAACAATGCTTGCAGGATGTTGCAGGTGCTTGTTTACATAGACAGTTCATGAGAGTTCTTATTTTTTTGTTTTTTGCTGCGATCATAACGTTTGCAGAAAAACACCCCGAATCTTCTCGAAGTGATGCTTCGAAGTGATGCGTGGCGAGATCGCGTCATTTTTCGATGCCAGATCGCAGTCTTTGGCCGTGTGAATGCCGGGAAGTCTGCGTGAGCCTCAGAGCGCATGGGCTACAGCAGAGCGGAGGCTGAATTTGGTCAACATTTAAAAACACATGAACAAACATTTGAACCATCATCTTTAACATCTTTAACTACATCTGTAACCATGGTTAACATTACCTCAATAATGGTACAGTGTTTCTTCCAGCTTCTTTAGTTTGTGACCTTTTGAGGGATTCCTGAGTCAAGCTTGGGAGGCTTAAGCCTCAAACTGGGAGCTTAGTCTGGGGAAAATTGAAGAACCATGTTCCTCAATGTTCCTCAATTTCTCTGAAGCAGCTTTGTCAGGTTCTTTTGAACAAGAAACATTTAAAACACACACGTTGTTGGTGCCACTTGTTAAGGGTGCATGCCAGAAGCGGAGACATTCACAGGGAGATTTGTTTCACATAAGGACGATTAGGGAAGTTGGACGGGTATCTTCAAAGCACCACCCTTTCGATTGCTTTAAGGGAACATCCACAGAAAACCCATGGCCCATGGCTTTCACCCTCGCTGAAGACCCTTCAGCGACGACGTCGCTCGGGGCCTCGCCTGAAACACAGGCGATGCTGCAGCACCTCTTCAGCGCCACAAGTCCTCGGAAGAATGGCGTGGTCCTTGGGAGCTCATGCTGCGATTCATGTGGAGAAGATCCAACATGTTGCGCATGTTGGAGCAGGTGGTCTAGTTCAAAACATCGCAAAACATGTGAACTTCAGAAAGTGTGAAGACGCTGAACAAACGCAGAGGAATCACAAATTTTTCTCAGGCGATTCGTGCGAAATCTGGATGCACCAAGCTGCTCTTCAGGTCATTTCTCCATAGCACAAAGACCAGGCAAGACCAAGGCCAAGCTGCCTCAGCGACCTCCGCTGTGGTTTTCGTCGATAAGAGAAAGAGATCCCCAGCAAAGACAGGCGAAGTCCATCTTGTTAAGTTTCCCTAAAATCTAGGAACCAAATGATTTGTGCGAGCGCTTCTTGAAGGAAGCTTCCCCCCCGCCCTCAGGCAGGGGAGCTTCCTTGAAGAAGTGCGAGCTATCCTGTGCCCAGATTGTTTGCTCCTTAATTAAATATGGAGGCTGGGCCATGGGTCATCATAGGAAGTGTCTTAAAAATGTTGGTGCCTTCCTCCATCCTTGCTAATGAAGAATCATAAACACCTTCACAGATCCACCTTCTCATTCCCGTGACAGATCTAACATCGCTCAGGGCATCCAGGTCTACTGCCTCAATCGCCGCTTTACAGTGGCCGACATGCCGGGCTACGGCCGGCCCGGGCCAACGGAAGATGCGATGGCCGTGCACCAGAAGTGGACGGGACAGTGGAAACACGTGATCCAGGACAGGACATCCAAGCTGCAGACTTGAAGCATGTCTTTGCACTCCGTCCCCAACACTCTTTTCAGAGTTCCAGAGTTTTGTTCGAGTGGACATTTGAGGGTATCAGCAGAAGGCCACCACCCTAGTCAGTGAGTCAGGTGCAGATGGGTTTCTGAAGTTTGTACCCTATTGGGTACTGTGGCTCAACAAAAGGACACACCCCAGGCCCATTGGTCAGTTCAGACCAAATCCTGCAGATGTTCCTCCGTTTTGCATGGTTTTTGCCAACGCATGGTCCAATGGTGGCCTTGCAGGACTATTTGAATACCACCTCTTGGTTAAGAGCTGCCATCTACGTGCACGATATCTCCAAAGAGGTGGCTCCGTTCCTCGTACGACGTGTCGGGTGATGGGATTCCTCCAGCCACTCAGAGAGAGAGAGAGAGAGAGCGCGAGCACCAAATAGCTTCTTGTTACGTCCGTAGCTATACTTGCTCCGTTCGTAGTACGGCCAGGAGCCCCCGTTCGTAGCGTTCGAACGCTCCTAGTAGCGATGCCAGGAGCCCCGTTCGTAGCCTCCTTGCTGCATGAATCCTGAATGAATTCAGCCAAGTGCACTGACTCGAGATCTTCACATCGAAAGATCTTCAAAGTGTCCAGTCTTCAAATGCTGGGGCATCATCTCAAGCTCTTTGAAAAAACAAGGGATCCCAAGGGATCCCAAGGGGTAGGCATGACCCGAACTCGCCGTCTTTTCAGACCTTTCTTTGCCTCTCGCTTTGGTCAGGTGCGGGAGGAGGACCGGGAGACGATACGGATGTTCAGGACTGGAAGACGGTACGGAGGAGGTCCGGGTGGAGCTGGAGGGCCGCTCCAGGCGACCAGATCTGGGGATCAGAATCACCCACCTCGGGTCGGGAAGTGATCCCGATGTGGATTGACCTGGATTGACCTCAGGTTGAGGTTCATTCGACCTGGTGACCAGCCATGACCAGCCGACATGACTCTGCTTTTGACATATTTACAGTACCAGATTCCTCAAATCATGGCCGGATCGAGGTTTCTCAGTGAGCGGATGATCAACTCGAGGTCATGACTTCTGATGGGTGTGGGTGTGTATTTAAAGGGAGAGCACCCAACCAATGGGTGTTTGAATTGCTTCTTGGCTGTAGGCCCAGTTCAACAGGGTCCGACCCGCTGGTCCCCGAACGGTCGGAACTCCCATCCTTTGAGCGTTTCGCTTGGTCAGGCACAAGCTCTCATCATCTCTCATCCTCGGTCTCAGGAAGCAAGGCATCCCTATGCTCTTGGTCTTCACCAAGGATGACAAGGCAAAACAGATCAAGAACATTCAAGAACTCAATAGCACACTGCAGAGCTATAGCTTCAAGTGTCTTCAAGGGATCAGCCGACTAAATTCCACCGCTGCAAGGGCTTTGAACCAGAAAGTTCGTCAAGAACTCAATAACCAGCCTTCGGGTGCAAAAAGAGATGTTTTTTTTTCCCTTCGGTGAAATTCCAGGATCGGACGCAGCTTCTGAAATTGCGCCGCTCACTGGGCAGGTGGACTCTGAAACTCATCGCCACAACCGCGTGATGAAACTGAGGTCAAGGGCACATGCTTTTTGCGTCAGATTTATGGACTACGGACAGATAAGGTCAATTTGACATTAAACCCACATGCTTTTCCCAGGTACGTTGGTAAGGTAGAAGATGGTAGAAGTAACACCAACCTAACCAAGGGTTGTTGATGACATAATTGGTTTGATGTCAGACATGGCAAACCATGGACCATGAATACGATTCCGTGTGCACAGACTAAGTAACTTGGCGTTCAGCACGTGACTGGATAGCGGTTTCTGTGAAACGCAGCTGTGTGAGACATTCGAGACATTCGTGAGCCTGAACTGGCAAGTTCATCACCACCTCCAGTTGTAATTCTACAAGCTACACCGGGAACTTGTTGGATCTTGGAATGCACCAGCACGAGCTACACCGGCATTCCCGCATGGCGCATGGCTGTACGCCGGACAGGTTCGGAAGACCTCGGGTTCACCGGTCGTGCGCGGTGAACTGGTCGGCGAAACGATGCGGATCACCCCAGTACTGTAGCACCTATAAACCTTCTGAACACCTCAGTAGCATTGATTCTGCATTTCGACACCTCACAAGGTGACACCTTCCGCACGTGTGGGGTAGTTGAGCTCTGCGCGTGTGCGCGACCACGCACGTGTGGGTGCCTGCCATGGAGGGTATAGACATGGAGAGGCCTCAAGCTGCACCTGGGTCGATTCCAGGGGAGGCACCGCCTTTCCTGTGGGTGGTGATCATTGCAGCAGCTGCACTCTGGTGGCTCTTACCATGGATCGAACGCCACTTGGGCGTTCTGGGACTGAGGGGTGAGGGGAGACAGCTGCACGTAGTGATGAGAGGTGCCACAGGGTCTTCTGGATTTTCATCATTCAACCTCGTTGCCACTGGAGGTTCCAGACATGCTGCATGCTCTGGATCTCAAAGAGGTCCAAAATCACCTTAAGAGTGAAGACATGTGAAAACCAATCTCCTATTGAGACACATCTCTTTGGGCAGAGTGGCACACGGCTCCTATCAGGCTTGATTTGTTTAATCGAGACAGCCCAATTCCTGACTTGCATTTTGCTGACAAGCACAAGCAAATAGTCTATAGATACCCACAGCTGGACCTTTGGTTGTCGCGCTAGCCATCATTTTCTCGACTGATAAGAAATGATTGGGACATTGTCAAAAATAAAGTTGCTGAACGCAGCAATGCTAAGATCTTTGGAGCTACCAAGGGTCGTCTTGATGTGCTTTCATTTGTCATCCTACTTTGATCAAAGCCAGGACTCCTCACTGTGCAAATTCTACTGCATGTGAAAAGATAAGTTTGTGAATGTTTGTGAGTTTGTGTGTTTGTGGAACTTGGCACTTGTCCAACAAAATTCTGACCCTAGGACGGAGATGGCACAACACACATAGAGGTTATGCCTTTGGATCCTTTTTGATCCCTCAAAATAAGGTAAGTAATTTTGTGACTCAAAGCTGATGTCGTCCAGGGTGGCAAGAGGCCAGACGTGCTCCTCCGGTCGTCAGCAGTGCAGAGCGCGTGGCTGCGATGGAGAAAACCGTGCAAGCGCAAGAGTATGTGGATCTTTGTCTGCAAGGCATTGCTTTCCGAATGTCCGATGTTTCATTGACCCTCACATGTCTATGTCGTGGGAGGTTGCACATTTTGATGTTTTGATGTCAAGGAGACATTGTCACGACAGCAGTGCCTGGTTGGCTGTGGGAAGCTAAGGAGCCGGAGCTTGAACCAGGAGACACCTTTCTGAGGCGGAGCTGAGTTATGGACCTTGAGAGCCTTGAGAGCCAGTTGATATGACCCTCGTCGTGTTTTCTCTTGGACCCTGAATGACATCTTCCATCTTGGATAGTGGATAGGGTAAGACTAGTGGTAAGACTCTGGAACTCCTGAGGAACAAGTACAATTTCTACAAAATAAGGATGTGGTGGATGAACGGTAAATTGGGCAAACACGCTTCAAAGGACATTCCAGTGATGTTTGCTTTTTGTTTTTCCACAGACCCATCCGCCCAGACCCGCAGCGCTACCCTTCGACCCGGACGAGTTCTTCCGGGAGACCTATGCCGCGGGCTGCAGTTTGCTGGAGGAGATCTTGGCGGTGCCTCCGCAGGGGGAGCAGTTCACTGCAGCAGTGAAGGGCTTGCATGCGCCACTCAGATCGAGATTTTGCCACCCGCGGTCAACAGCTCACCTCAAAGCGGTAGATGTTCTGTAAGAAATTTGCGCAGATGCGCTGGATATTGGTTGGACAAGTGCTCGAATGCAGATTCATGGTAGGATTCACTTGCTGACTCGTCGTTTCCATGAGATTGAATGTTTACTACATGGAGATAGGAGGACGGGTAGGATGAAGGCACATTTTACAACCTTGACCTGCCAACCTGTGCTTGTCTGGACAAATCCCACACCCAACACAGTCTACGAACCCTGCCAACAGATGCTTTCAGCGCATGTAAGCCATGCGCATGGCTGGCTGCGCAGAAATTGGTTGGTTCCGGGACACCGCAGATCGATTAGCTGATAATGTATCCGTACCGCCCCTACCGCCTTTTTCGGGAACCGCACAACCGGACCACGGATGGAACGTCATGATTTTGCGAGGCTGGCGAATATCTTGGATCGACTCTTTCACTCTTGGGCTGAGGAGGCGGGAGCGGGCGGATGCCTGGGCCGAGCGGCGGGTGGGATTTGCATCTTGGTTACTGTACCTGAAGATGAGATGTCCTGGCTCAAGAAGCAAGTTGGAAGAGTAAAGTCCTTGGAACACATGCACTGGAATCCCATTCTATTTGAAGTTTGGGAGATTTGGGTACCACTTAGAAGTTGCGATGTAAGTCGGACATTCAACGCTTCTCTTCGGAGTGGTGGGTGCCTTGATCGCATGTTTCCATACTCGATCCAACCTTTCGGGTGGGCATCCATTTGTGTTGAATGGGAGGATCATTTTCATGCGTTTTCCTGCTCTATCTTCGACGCTGCACTCATTGGGGCGCCCCATTCATACCGGAATCCACCTATAAAGCCCCTTCCTATCGGAGGTCTCCAACAGTGGATCGTGGGTCTCCATGTTTCACGCCCCGAAATGAAGGTCCAACAGACTCCGCAGAGGCAACTTCTTCCCCCACTAGGCCGGCCTGCCTCGGACCTTTCGCCAACGCGACCGAGTTGCAGGCGGGCGACCGAGCGCGGTGCCAGTTGAAGGAGGAGAGCGAGGCCTTCGTCAGCAGCTTCACGGCACGCGGCGATGCACCGATAAGGCGGCTCTTGGTGGCCTGATTCAGATTCAACCAGGGAGGGAAGGGTAGGAAGAAGTTCCGCCCTAAGGTTGGCTTCACAGGGAGGCAAGGGAGGCTAGGAGGATACGGAGGGTGCTTTCGGTTTAGCCGCAGGTTTGCTTCGGATCCAGTTCTCTGTGAAAGAAGCATTGGTCTTGAGTGCCACTGAGTCTGTCATACGATCCACCAAGGCTCATGCTGGCTTTCGGAGGGAGGAGAGCTCTCGAGCTGTGTGGTGCTTTGATCGTGAGGATCCTGAAATCAGGTCAGGGCGCCGCAGTCTGGTCGCACCTCATTGGGTCTTACAAGTCCAGTCTGACCCAGGTCCAATCCCGGTCCTTGACCTCCTTGAGTAGTGTTTTTGTATGACCAACTCGGAACAGCTTCGGAACGGGGACAGCCTACTCGCGAACAGTTTGTTCTTCAAAGCACCATGGATCCTTCAAGGATTGACTTTGAGCGGCCTTGCACTGACAGGAACGAAGCACATTAAGCAAATACCAGCACGACCCAAAGGGTGTTTGTTGGATGTTATATTAAATGATATTAAATGCATCTTCAGGGGGGTCAATAAACCACCCTTTCGGTGGTGCTGGTCATTGGATTTCGTTTGGCTCACGGTTGCGAAGCTTCACCTCATTCCGCCTGTCGAATCTCGAACGCCGAAAAACGCGCTCAGAGGCTCAGAGGCCTCACCGTCAGATTGTGCCTGCTGCGCTTTTCGGAACTGCAGAGGCCAGGGTCGATGCGAATCAGGATCCATGATCCAGTGCAGGTGTTAGCCCAGAAGATTCGGACTTTACTAACTGTTCTTCCTGTCTTCCATCCCAGGCAGTCAGGTCTTCTTGGAGGCGGAGGTGAAGACTTACAAGATTTGGATCCATTTACCCATCGACCCATTCACCGACCTCCTCAGGCTGCGCGGCACGCACCGCTGGGCCCAGTCCAGCAACGCGGCGGTGGTGCCGAAGCCCACGGCCACCGTGCCGGAGCTGCTGGAGCTCTACCGGTCGCCGTCCGAGGCACCAGAGTTGGAGAAGCCATCGCTGAGGGAGAGGAACTTGGAAGCGGAGGTGAGAGGAAAGATCCAGGAGATGGGACAAGGGGAGGCTGAGGGAGGCTGAGGTTGAGGGGTTTGGGAATGCAGATTGCACCCTTTCGATCCCTTTGGATCCGGTGTTTTGAGTCATTGGATTCATGGAATTTGTATCATCGCGGATTCATTTGAACCCTATCATTGCGCGGTTGCCACTTTGGCAATTGGAATTCTAACTGATCATGCACCTATTCGACTGCTGGGATCTATAAAATGCATGTATTGAATCTAATACAGCCATTTCCCGCTTCCAGAGGATCCTCTCCAGCATGCCCCACCCCAAACCTGCCCCTATACCATCCTATGCCTATACCCCTCACCTTCAGACCCTCCTATGCCGTCTGTCCGACCGTCCAGGAACGGCGTAGTGAGGCGCTGGCGCCCGTCCCGCCGGTGCCGCTCGCGCTGCACGAGGGCTTGGCGCAGGCGGCACGGCGCTTGGCGCAGGCGCAAAGGGTCCAGGAGCGGAGCCAGGCGCGGCGGTTCGACGGGGTGGATGTTCGAAGGACCAGCGGTGCGAGGTTTTTTCTGTTGGTAGCCTATTACACGTGGGAGTGTATCTACGGTAAGAGGGCCGGTAAGGGCTTTTGGTCTTGAGGGGAATCGGTGTGGTATAGGATCGTAAGACGTCTCTTCCAGCGAGAGTGTTCCTTATAAGAGGTTCAGTGGTTGAAGAACATGTTACTTGTTTATATATAAGGTTTGTGGCAGTTTGTGGCTCTGATTTGTCTTAAGCAGTTCCTCGAACCAGGATGATGCTGTTGGATTTCTGAGAAACCGAGAGATTCTTGGAACCCGCACTCTGCATCCTTCGCATGTGGTCTTTCACGAGATGCGAAGTTGTGGGTCGAGACATAAAAAATAATAAATCGCGAGCTGTAAGCTTTTCCCGTGTTCTCAAACAAAGCCAAACACTTATAGCGAACACTCACAATTTGAGACGAAGCCCCCCTCCAGACAGACCATCAGCTGAGGCTTCGCCGACGAGGCTCCGGGCCAGCGAGGTCGAGAAACTTTTGGCCCAGATGCCCCTGCCACCAGGCGCTGCGCTTGTCACGCGCCGTTTGCGTGCGCGTGTCCACGGCCAGATGCGGCTGGGGTCACGCGCAACGCGTGACCTGAGAAGGAGAGAGGTGAAGAGGTTTGGAGCACCTAAGCAAGAGGCCAAGGAATGGACTGGCTGCTTGGAAGAGGTTGTTTTTTTGTATATTGTCAACTAATTGTACATAATATAAGTGCCTCGATGTCCAGGCAGATTCCTGGTTTTGCTCCTAGTTACTAGGTGTCACAATTCCTTCCTCCAAACCTGGTTTCAACCACCCCAACGGCGAGATCCTCCGCCTCCATCCCATCACCCCTTCCCAGTCAACCCGGTCCACCGCTCTTGGACACCGAACAGACGAGACACTGCACCGAGAGGTTTCACTGCGGTGCACCTGTACTTCCGCAGCACCGAGCTGCCGAGCATCTTTGGTCTCACCAGCAGTACTGGCCGCAACAGCGGAAACGCAGCGGGTGAGGAGAGGTGATGGGAGGGAGAGGTCCGTCATGTCTTCAAATGAACCTGTCCCGTTGAACACGTCCCGTTTAAGGCCTAAACTTCGGGTTTTTGAGCATGACAGTTGCGTAAACATATCCCGTTGAACAAAGGAACAAACCCGCGTCTTTGACCATGAAAATTGCATAAACATTTGGACAAACCAAAGGAAAAGGGAAGCTTTCAGACCAAATGGGTTCAAGTCGATCACATTGGCTCATCTTACTCTGTTTATACCTTTGCACCTGTGTTCTGCGTGCAACCCTGACAGACATCTGCATGGGTCTCGCACACGTTGGGGCATTTCATGTTTGAATGGTGTTGGGTTGCTTTGCGAGGGTAATGACTTCTTCCAAAGCAAAGTCAGGGCGCAAAATTGTTGGGTTTTCAGCTCGCACAGTGCATGTCTCAAAGCACATGTCTACAGCATCAACATGCATCAACCACTCTCCTTGTGGGAAACCCCAGTCCTCTCACCCGTCGTCCAAGCAGAAAATCCATCCATCCAACCATCCATCCATCCAACCAACGAACTAACCAACCAATCAATCAGCCACCGCAGCCAGGACCGCGCGGCCGACATCTTAGCACGCGAGGCCGTGGGGCACTGGGCAGCCCGAGTGCCGACGCTCACCTGGCCGAGCGCCAGTCTCTGTGGCGTGGGCGCTGCGCTGGACTACACGGTACCATGGGACCCCGTGGGACGAAAAAGCGAGGGATAGGCTCGATTTCATGCAACGCATGTCTGGCAGCTCTTCCTATGACTTGAAGTAAGAACCCCAATAGCTCACGCTATCTGGGGAATTACACTGAAAAAACACATTCGGGAGGGATTTGGGAGGTTTGGGGTGGTGGACGAGATGAATCTAGCTCCTACTGTGGCCGTATGTGGAAATAAAGGACATGTCAAGACTGTCAAGAGCTGTTCAAGACCTAAGGTGGTGCGTTTTGACACAGCTGGGTGGAGTCAGTTTACTTCTGTCCTTCAACTCTTTTGGCTGTGCTTCATCTACATTTACTCCCATCAACGAGTCTGTTTCTTCGGCTGTAAGTCTTGCGAGGCAAGGAATATACCTTTGATCTGCCTGCAGGTGATGATCTCCTTGAAGTATTGTCCTGTCGTGGGGTTTTGCAGGTCACACTCCTCAGTGGCTGATCTCCAGTATTGTTTCAACCAGCCCACCCAGTATAAGCAGCCAAAAGAATCACCCACCGTGCCAAGCAATCCAAGAGCAGCCTTCGAGGTGAACCGTGGATTCGTGGTTGCGTTGCTGATTGGCCAGGGCCTTGGCGGCTCCTTGCGGAGATATATTGTTAACTATCGAAATCCATGGATACTCTAACCGAGCCAACTAGGATAAGATAACTAGGAAGGATAAGGAAGGTATATAGATAACTTGGACAAGATCACGCGAGGAAGATGCTTTCCAAGAAGGTCCATATTTGAGGTGGGCATACCCATAATGTTGACGGCTAGCAGATTCCTGACAAAGATCAGAGTTGGCCGATGCTACCAGATCCTGCCTCATTGTTATGTCATTTCGGGACATTATAGTCATAGTAAGTTGATAGGCAATCCTCACACAAAATAAATCTTTGCATGTCTTGTTTGAATGTAAACCAATTCCGACTTGATTCTCCTGCAGTCGCCATACCTTAGTCTGCAGGCTTTGAGGGTGCCTGCGTCGAAGAGGCGTGTGACCTTTGGAGCTTTGTTTCCCATTCAGGTCAGTGTAGCCCTATTGAGTCTATTAAATCTCCAAGCCAACTCCCATCAAAGTCATGTCAATGTTTTTTGTTGATCCGCTTCCATGGCAGCCACCTGAATCCTCCGTCCGGCCAAGCATCCCTGCTAGGCCTCCGCGCAGCGGAGCGCCATGCAAGACCTCCGAAGGCGGCAGACGGCCGCCGCCGAGGCGGCGGCGGCCAAGCCGGCCCAGCCAAGCTTTGGTGGGGATCACCGAGCATCGATGGGCAATCAAGGGGAATACATGGAAATAGCTCAGCTCTTTGAGGATTTTTAGATGATCGGACAAGAAAACTAATTATAGCGCATGCATGCGCATGCTATCTATAAATCCATAAAGCCGAGATAAGCCGAGTATTGTTGAGATTAGTCCCTAATGTACTCGTTCAATTGGATGTCTTAATATGTACAAACTGTATGAGTCGCAGACATGGGGGCACACCTTTTTCGAGCTGGCCACTTGAACAACCTCAGCTACTCTGAAGACTTGTCACGAAGTCAGCAGTTCAACGGAACCACCGAAGAGTCGCAGTCGCTGCGCCGGACTGGTCCGGCTCCGCCGAGGCGCTCGGGTGCGGACCTTCGGAGCACCTGCAGCAGATGCGGTGCTGAATCGCAAGTAGTGAGACCGGACGCCGAACACGCGTCTCGGTGCAGCGGACAGATGAGCACCCGGTGCAGTGAACAACGGACGCCACACGGCAGAAAAAGAGTATGGGGTCCGGTTGGAGGGTGAGTTGGAGCCGAAGACGTTTGCAAAAGTTGGAGCTGAAAAGACCGAAAGAAGCGCTTTGGAGACTTGCAATCATGAATTATCTCTCATTAACTTATTGCTATGACCTGTTCCATGGAGACATCATCTGAACCGTGTCACCCCAACTCCGCACGACTTGCAGGCGACAGCTCAATTGGCCAATGGATTGGCCACATGCTCACTACACCACTCGACGAGGCTGAAGAGCCTTCGGTGGGGCGCTGGAGCCTTCAGGTTTCAATGGGGGTCCAGCCCTGAAGCAATGTTTAAAACTCCTTGGAAAGAATCATGGAAGTGGACACCCCGCTGGTTGTTTGTGTGTTTTCTCTTTTCGTTTCTCTGGCAGCAAGTTCCCGACACACTCCCGATTCCCAGATTGGGGTCATTGACAAAACCTCGCCTTGTTCAGCGGGTGATCTTCAGCAACAGTCACAACCGGGCAGGGTTCAGATATTGTTGCAGCCCAGGGATTTGGCGATTTGCATGAGTTTGCATGTACTGCATGTTGAGTGGGGCGGCGAGAGAGCGCTTTAGAGATCGTTCTTTCTATTATTATGTCCCTTGAGAAGAGGTTCTTTTTGGATGGTTTTAACCAGCAAGCCCACCCCTCCTAACGCTAGTTGGTGCCAAGACAACAAGTGACCTCTTTCCCGCAGCAAAAAAGCAGCAACTGACTTGCTGGCAGGATTCCACCACGGGCTCGAGGGCCTATCATCCGACACCCCAAAGTCCGTAGGCAAAGGACACAAGTGGAGCGGAATCATGGAGATGTAAGTCTTTCTCAGACACTCCATGGACGGTGCGGTCTATATAATGCCTACATTGACCCTTGAAACCAGGATGGACAAAGGATTCCAATACCATCCAGGTGAGTGGATGTGACAGGGGCACCCCAACTCCTCTGTTCGACCGGCGCCCCCCCCGAGCGAGCGAGCGACCTGTGACTCCTAGTACATGGAATCGACGGTCGTTCCACTCGTCAGGTGGCTATGGGCAGGTCTTTAAGAACATGGCCGGACTGCCCAGAGCCCATCGAATCCTAACAAGATGCAGTTGGCACCACTTCAAGAAATTTGGGGATGCTTCAGTTTCAGTATAGGATTTCACGCTTGAACGCCCTTCAAATCCACCTATAAACATGGTCAAATCACCTTTTACCTCCGAAACTCTGGGATTTCTTTGACCGACCATGCTGACATAATCTGACATAATATTAGTAATATATACACGCCGCTTTGTGATTGGCACGACTGCGTTTCTGGGTGGCATCTCTCACGCTGCTTGCAGCGTCAAGCCGAACGAGTTCGGCACGCCCAACGACGCCCAGGTCGGCACGATGTTGCTTGGCCTGGTGGCTACTGAGCAGCGCGAAGATGCGATGCATGCCTTGGAGGTGCCAAGTTGCCTCGCTGTTTGGGGTGCCCAGTAGATGTGGGGGATTCCTGTTGTTTTAGAGCTGATCGAGATACTCCAAAACGCATGTTGGCGTCCTCAACAACCATTTGCAGCCATGATCGAAGCCACGATCTTGTTGCTGAAGAGGTATAATTGTTGCTGAAATGTCCAGAATAGATTCAGATGGAGGCTGCTTGGTTGCGAGTTCGTGTTGACGAGTTCGTCGCAAAGCTTTGCCGCAGAATGAGCTCCCGGACATCTTTTGGGACTACCGGGACAAGTGCGCCTGCCACACCAATGGTATCGCAGAGATGTGGACCGAAGAGTTGCAAGACTAGTAACATGTGTGCATCTTAGTAGCTTCTTGTTACCAGTAGTAATGACCTTGTTACTAGGAGCGATGCACTAGTAGCATGCTAGTCACATCTTTTCATGGATGCCTTCTCCCTCGCTAACCAGATCTCAGCCCGAGCCACAGCGAGCCGCAGCGAGGTACGTGCCGAAGCCCCGAAGCTTCTTCGGGCGGAAGGCGGCCATGAAGAAGTCCCGCAGCTACCCGGACGAGGCCTTTGTCAGCCCACCCAACGAGACGAATAAAAACGGTTCTTCAAAACAAGATGCCTGTTGTGGAGTGGGTGTTACAAGGCCAACAACACGTGCTTTCTCATCACCATGTCGTGAGGCTTTTGAGAGTTTTTTGGTTGGGGGGGGGCCTGTGGATTGTTTGTGTGTTTTTTTTATAGCTGCACTGCTTTTATTTTCTGGCTTTGTCCGCCTGCAAAGAGTGTGTGAAAGTGAATTGTGACTGAGCTTGGGCCATTGTTTGCTTGGAGGATGTGGTGTACACCGACGAAGAGCTTGAAGAAGAGGAGGCTGGGGACATGTTTCTTACGTTTGACATGGTGCCAACAACGAGTCATTCCCGAGATGAGAAAACAATGTGAATTGCATAAGGTTCCCAGCATTCCACCAGCTCCTTTGGATCTCTCTCTCTCTCTCTTTCTTTGGTAGAGGGAGGCTATAATGTTCATCAATCATGTTTATAGATCTTCTATATGATCTTCTCACAGAGGTTCTGGGGGCTTGGGCGGGCTTTAAAGGCACCACCTTCATGGGGCAGGTGGTCAAGGATCAGCTGCATTGCCAGAGATACTGTTCAAGATGGCTGGTTACAAAATCTCAGCTGCTGATCTCTTTGCTTAGAGATTGGAGTATTGCGTTTTAGACTGACTGAGACAGAACTGCCTGATCTCATGATGACTGCCTTTTCCGGTCTTTTCAGACTTTGGAAAGAAATCAAACGCAGTCTCACCGTGTTTCACCGTCACTCGTGCTTGGTGGTCATCAGTTTTGCCTGTCAGGAGATTGCTGAGAAGAGAGAGCTGCGTGCACTGCGAGCGGAGAAGAAGGCACCCGGAACTCAGAACCACCCAACCGATCGATCCAACCAGTTGCTTGTTCGAGCGCAGCACCATAAAACATGTTTCTTCTTCAATCGCATGGATAGACAATACTGGAATTGTTGGAACACTGAGAAGGGATGAAGAAACTCCTACACAACTGCTTGCACTATAGAACTATAGCTGCTAGGTGCAAAAAGGGGGTTGCACTGCAGGCACGAGGAGAGACCATCACCATGAAGGACAAAGTGGACGAGATGAAAGGTCCTGCTCTCACGCCGAAGGAGACCGACCAAGAAACTGGAGGGGAAACTGCTCATTGCTGGAAAACTGCTCACCAGAAGCTTTATTGAGCTATTCTCCAGGTTTTCTCGGTGTAGAATTCAGTCCATGTACTGGATCAACAGGCAAGACTCGCGAGGCTGGCTGGGCCCTATCCAGAAGGTGTGGCGCAGGAATCGCAGGAATCGTAGGTCCTCCTACAGCTGTGGCGTTCCGACGACCTGACATGGTGAAAAATTAAGAGTCCTTATAAGTGAGCCTTATGAGCTCGTGAGGCCATGATTCCAGAGTTCTTCCCTGAGGTAACACTCAATCCATACTTAGAATGAATCACTTAAATCAGGTCCTTGTATTAACATCCTCTCAACTTGCATGACTTTGGGATGTGCCTGCTGCAACTGCCTGCTGGACCACACGAACCACATTTTCACAATCCATACCAAGCAAGACACGGGAATCAAAATTCAGCAACATGTTTGAAGTCCCTTGGTATAAATCAATTCCTCAAACCGACCAAGGGTGAACTCGCATGCATTCACACGCATTAATCTTCTCATCCTGCTAATCATGTGTGCCGCGCCTGTGGCTTTCCCGCGTCTTCCACGAGAGACCCAAACAAAGAAGCCCTTCTTTTCGGACCCGGGGCCAATCAAGCGACAGAGCTGCTCCAGAATTGAAAGACCTCAAAAAACGATCAACCAAAACAAAGAGGTCCGCCTAGCCCGGCCTCCAAGCCGAGACCCTACAACGAGTCGGCACGACGAAGGTACAGGATTGGGGGTCCAACTGTGTTTTCCACCTCATGGAGAAGCTGCATCTGCGATCAGGGAGCCAAATTTGACCCTTATCCCGATGTTCTTTTCCAATTTGCGATAGCCGAACGAGCTAGTCTGTGGCCGCAGCATCAAACAAAGTAGGACAGTGAATTACTAATTGACCCTATCCCATCCGTGAAAATGGGAGCAATCCTAATCGAACTCTGGCACCCACACTAAGAGTCACCTCCAAAGACCCGTTTTCACCGTGTACAGAAGCGACGCTTCGATGTGTGACACCGACTCGACTCGCCTCAGCGACGCTTCGCTCGTGACGCTGCTGGACGTTTCTCATCCGCCCTCGGAAGGGACAAGACGTAGCTCCTCCTCGAAGTCGATGTCCGATTCCCTGCGCCACGCGTGTTTCCTCGATCTCCGAGGAGCGCCTCAAGCGATGGGAAGAGATGCTGGAAGATGCGAGGTGCGCAGGATGTCAACGGATTGGTGTTTGATTTATTTGTTACAGATTGGAGTCCATGGGATTTGTTTGTACCACGACCTCGAATGCATTTACCTCCATGGTACAAGTGGTCTTTCGATGTGCTTCACTCCTGGACCCCATCGATGACCCATCCACGTGTTGGAGCATGCGACAGCATGCGTGTTACAGCATTGCTGCAAGTTGCTTTCCTACCAGCTTCCAGCCAATACACGTGGCACAGGACACATTGACTTCAAGATGATGATGCACTCCATCATGATGGAGATTTATTCCTCCTCATGGGATGTTTTTTTGCAACCAACATGAAAACTGGCTGTAGTACAAGATGCACATCTTATAACCACTCAAGTAACCATCCACCAATGTCCTTTTAAGTCCAAGTTTTCATGGCTGGAAACCTACCATTTGGATCATTCGGGAACCGCACCTGACACCGTCGCCGCAGGTCGCGCTGAAGAGATGGTCGGCCGTGGAAGACATGGTCAGCCTCAGAAAATGGTTCCAAAACCGACGGAGTTGGATCAGTTGGGTCTCATATTGTGAGACTGGAGTCTTCTGATTTTACTTTGAAAGAGAGGATCTCTCCCTGCATATCCTTGCATCAAAAACTCTCTTGGCAGAATTCACGTCTTATTAAGATGCTTGGTGGACAGAATTTGGCAAAGTATAGTTACTTTGAAGGTGTTTGAATGCTGCGGAGACACAAGGCAGGTTTTGACGTACCTGCCCCAGTTCTTCATCAATACTAATTTCGACTTACATATATGGATTCATTAAGTTGGCTCGAAGGGAGTTAGTTGCGTGTCCGCATTGACTGTCATATTATCCTGCCCTTTCAACAGAAACACTCTGAATTCCTGGTTTTCCAGAGGTTTGTTTGCAAAAACAAGCAAACAGTACAAAAAGATACGCATATAATACTACACTGACCGTTGCACCTTGTTTGCAGTTGTAGTCATTTGTTTTACTGGTTTGCATCACCCTACTGTTCCAATGGCGCCTCGCCATGACCCGTTGGACGAAGCGCCGCGGAGGGGGTGGACCGGTCCGCGCGGAGGGGGCAGCTCAGGGTCGGTGCCCCATTTGCTTGGAGGAGTTGAACGAAGCTCCTGTCCAGGCCTCTGAAGAAGAGCAACAGATCTGTCGGTGTTTTTGGCAGGAGAATCATGGAGAGTCTATGAAAAGCCATGGTATGCCATGGTTCTGGTTGCTTTCGCCTTGTTTTCCGAAATTTGATGTTCATTCACACTGGTGACGTTCAACCTTGCATCAATTGCTCCATGTTACTCCCCTAAGACCCAACAACGGCGACCACTCTTCTGGAGGACACGGCTGATGTTCAACAGCAGAACTTGTTGGATTTAGAAGACTTGGGTGATCTAGCCCTCTCAGTTTCATGGTATACCAACAGAACCAAAACAACTTAATTACCAGACTTGCAGACTGGCAGATCTTGCAGTAGAGAAATCACTACCTGCATGGTGGTGTTTGCATGTTTTTGCATATGTGTTTCTGAAAAAAATGCGTCTATTGCATTGACCAGGATTTTTGAGCGCGATAGATTTGGACCACAGAACCACCAAGTGTGCCTTTTCTTGGCTTGCCAAGAAAAGTTTGACTCGAGTGGCAACCTTCTCGATGATTTTTCCAAAGCGGAAGAAGGTTTTAGTTGTCCTTCTGCTGGTGAGGGTGCCTTCAATTCCTGCCTCATAGACACAGCACATGTCCTGAAAGCTTGCAGGCCTTGTCCTGCGAACACGCTCTTTGCTCCGAATGCCTCCTACGCTATGTGGAGAGCCTGGTGAACCACGGCCGCGTTGAGGTCCGGTGCCCTGTGCCTCAGTGCCAGGAGCCTGTGCCCAGCGAGCTGCTGCAGCAGCTACTGCAAGATGCAGGAGGAGGTGATGGGGAGACGCCTCAGATGTCTTTCAGATTGAGTAATGAATGGTTTTGTTCTTCTCAGGTTGAACAAGAAATCATTCATTACTCGACTCCGATTTTCAGATGGTTCTTTTTCTTCAGCGCCTTCCTCTGGCTTCCAAGTCCACCAGCGAAAGAAGGACCTGGAAGAAATCTCTTTAGGTTTGCTAGTCAATGTTTGGTATTGCATTTCTTCAAGATGTTCCTGTGAGAAACATGGTGAGTGTGTGTGTGTGTAATGTATGTCTGTAATGTGCGCATGTGTACATACACATGTATTATAATGCTATTTTCTTTTGTGCCTTTATGTTGATTTTGTTCAAGTCACAATCATACAAACATTCCCAGGAAACTCTTCTTGCGGCTCTTGGACTTCCAAGCCCTGCGCATTGAGCCCGGCGAAGGTGAACGGCTGCTGAACTGTCCCACACCAGGCCGTGCACAAAAACCATATGTTGTTTAAAAGTCCGTTGCTGGTTGGAGAGACCAGAACAGTGTGTACATCAGAGACTGTTTTTTTTGGAACGGACACATTCCCCGTTGATCAAGCGAGTCACCCTTATGGAAAGCAAGAAATCCAAGAAAGTCGGGTCGCGATGTGTCAGGATGGCCGCACGTAATGTGGTTGAAGGGGTGTCCTCAAAAGAGGTTCCAAATGTAGACTATAGAGAATCTTCCCTGTAGCAGGCTGCATGAAGATGTTGGTGCCAGTGGCTTTGGTTCAAGAGCGGGCTAATGTCACTTTGGCTCACAACAAAGTGCAAGATGAGACAACGAGAGACCTAGGCGGACTGAGACTAAGATGGATCCTGAAACTGAACCTTTAGAAGAGACGCTTCCTCTACGAGGGTTTCGGGGGTCCATGTGGTATCTCTTCGATGGTATCTCTTTGTTTGAAACGACCAGCATAGAGAAACGGAGATAAACCAGCATGAGCCATTTGGTAGGGTCTAGGCAACTGCACAACAGAGCAGGGACAAATCAGGAGCAAGCTAGACTTTGGCTCATATGGTCAAAGGGGGATCAACTCTGTCATGTATTGTCTCCAAAAAACAGAGACACCCGAAACGAATTGGGTTTTAGGCCTTCATTGGTTGTTCCAATCAAACAATCAGTGATTGGGATAGACTTGTTTGGTTGTGTGTGTTTTTGCGTTCTCCATGACCAAGGTGAACTGCCCTGAGTGCCGTCAGAGCTTTTGTGCTGCTTGCTGTCAAGCAGCTCACGGACTTGAGAGTTGTGAAGCTGCAGAGCTGCAACGGACCGGGGTCGTTAAATCCGACCGACCCTTCTTCGTGACCCGTTCGACTCTGAAGCCTTCCGAACGGGTCACTGAACCCTCAAAAGTCCATGAAATGAAGAAGCTGGAAGAAGCAGCAGGTGCAAATGTCTGATGCAATGGTTGAATCATGTGTGTTTAAGCATGTTTAACCTTTCTTTGCTTGGCCAGAAAGCATGGGTTGCTAGGTTTAACACGTATTTGTAGGTGCTTGGGTCAAAGAACTCGAAGAAATTCATACTGGATATCACACAGCCCTGCTCTCATCTTCCAGGTCACATCACATGATTTGTGGTTGCGGTGCTCATCACATGTGCTCATCGCATTCCCCCTTTGGTTGGTGAAACACCCAGCGATCTTGTAAGGGCGAGGCAATCTGGCGCATAGTCGGGGTCGGACAAAAAATAGAAACATATACCCTAGGGCTGCAACCACATCCTCAGGTTCGGTCCAACCCAACCTTCTCAGGAAGTGGTTGGAGCCCTAGGGATCAATCATATCAACAGAGGACCTGTGCTCGTGTAGAGGATGGATCCAGCCATGCGGAAGCTCATGATGCAACAGAACTGGAAGCGCTGCCCGAGCTGCCGACACCTCTGCGAGCGCGAGAGTGGATGTAATTTCATGACCTGCCCATCTGAGCAATGTCACTTGGTCAAACTGGAGAAAAAAGCACCTGAAAATTGGGAGGACAGGCAGAGGGGGTCACTGAAGAAGATTTTCACCTAGGCCACATTGTTTTCAAGAGCCAGCAACCGATTCTAAATTAGATCTAAATAGTGTGATTGTGACCATGCTTCGTCTTTCTTTTGGGCTCTCGAAAGATCGAGGTTCCATCAGCCCATCTCTTCCAGAGAGGAAATGTTAAGAAGGTGCCTTCGATTGCCCTCCGGAACTGATCCTCACTGCAAACAACCCGGGTGCGGGATCCAAAAGAAACACCCTGAGCTTTCAACTATCTGTTTTACCCAATGACCTGGTTCACCGTCGGTCCACTGTTCAACGTCCGCACCTGAGGTCAAGGAGCGACCCACTTCTGCTACCTTTGCGAAGAGCCTCTCTTGGCCTCCGACCACGCCAGCCACTACGAGGGCTTCGACGGCGCGATCGGACTTCGAGGCCCTTTTGGCGCCGTGTGCCGCAACCGGCCCACGGTGGACGGGGAACGCGCGGCGTCGCTGCCCGGGAAGCCGGCTCCACCGCAGCTGTCGGTGGTGCCAGGGGAAGAGGAGGGCTCCATAGCGTTGCGGATCACCTGGGGTGAGCACAGGACAGGTGTTGCATCATGTTATTGGTTACCATGCGTGATAGTGCCGCATGTATACGTACCTGCAGTATCAAACCAAGAATGTGCGGCTGTTTAGAACTGATGATCAGATGTCCAATTCGCAGCTCAATACTATATGTCGTGCCATGACATGCCACTTGTAAGTGTTGCACTGTAGGAGCGAGCCTCCAACCATCTACTATCGCATCTGGCTGACTGTGCCAGGTAGTCAGGAGGCTGGGATTAGCATCGGACATCATCACTTGGATTTGGGTCTTCGAATGAGACGCCTCTTTCATTACATGTCATTGATACAAGGTGATAGAACAAGTTGGGATGGTCCATGAAAAAGGGGAAACCAATTACTGCATATTACTGCAATGAGCACAGTGATTAGCTATGACCAAGTCTAAATTAAGAGCAGACGATTGGTTATTGGTTAGGAAGAATTAAAGGTCCTCCGGTATTTTTTGTTGGGATGGTCATTCAGGAGTGCTCTTGGTATTGGTCTGTCGAGAGCAAATGACCTCACCCTATGAAAGAAACATGAACGGTGCTAGGAGGTTGCTGATCCGCATTTATTCCAAGGTCGACACATTGTTGATCACTGACAATCATCCAGCTCTTTGAGAATCACTGAACTTTGGGTCGTCGATTTTCCTGCCCAAAACTTATCATTTTTGCACGATTCAAAGGTGTTGACTTCTGAAACTCCAAACCAGAAATGGAACGATGGTCAAATTATGTCAAATTCTTCCACCTCTTCCAGAAGAAACTTCCACCTGTTCAGGTGCGGCGCTTGAGTGCACAGGCCAGGCAGTGGGGATCTCAGATCTTCGATCTCCAGATCTTCAGAGATCCCCAGAGGTCCAGGGACTTACCCATTGAATGGGATAACCTACTATGTGTTGTGTTTCCACCGTGGAACATGGACTTCCCCACGTCTTCTTTACGTCCGGATCTCCGCAGCCTGGATCTGGGCGATCGCTCGGATCGTGGACTTGCGACGTGCGAAGTGCGCTGATGCGTCCGCGCGGTTGGTGCGGGTGGATCCAAAGAAAACGACTTTCCCTGCCAGGTTAGGGTTGTTAGATTTCATGACTTGTCACCGACAGATCGAATGCCATAGAAGCAGACAGAATGCCAGGGTCAAGATTGCTCGAAGTAAAGTTTGTCTTTTTCTGAGTGCATAAGTAGGTCGTTGAGTGAGTGGAACTGATGTGGTCGGAGCCTCAAGCTCCAGCTCAACCTGCATAGAATAAGTTTGACGCTCCGTCTTCTCAGGCCCTACTTCGATGCGCCCAAGTCCTTGCCGAAATACATTCGCTACCAGGCCACAGTCTCTTGGAAGGCAAGGGAATGGATGACGCCCACGTGGTGAGGGTCGATCGACCACATCACAGGAAGAAGTTGGAGGGACTCGGAAGGGCCGATTTGGCTTTTGTCAGACCCTCTTAACGCGCTAAGTGCACACATCCAGCCCGGAGCAAAGAGGTGGAGTTGATGATGTGTGTGTGTGTGAGGACTCTGATATGAATACTAAAGTGATCTAGAGTGGTTTCACCGCTTGAAAAAGACTGGCCCTGCTACCTGGGATTCACTTGGATGCACTGCAACAAGGCTTCAACATGCTTCAACTGTTTGATACCCTCAATTCACCCTAGAAAGAATGGCACCTCAACTGATCTGACAGGCTGAGTCTTCCGTGGACTCTTTCGGAAAGGATTCTGAGGGATTCAGGATTCTACAAGTCTAGGTGATTCGATTGATTGCTGAATGGAATTCTCGGAATCCTGTATGGAATTGTGTAATGTTACCCCAAATGCTTCATGTGTAGGTATGCATGACCTACATGTTCCACTCAAAACCACCTGAATGTCATAGTTTTTAACATACTGGACCAGGAGTCACCTTCGACGGGGTGCTGTGGCTCGTCGAAAATCCAGTGAGTGGATGTTCCGGGCACCCCTTTTTCTCCATGAAGCACCCCGTCTGGTGACTGCTGGTACATGTTACTTCTCATCTCTTTAAAGGAACCGAAGCCGCTGAACGTCGTGCCCAGGTCGTACCTGTGAACGTGAACGGCGCCGGCCCCTCGAGCGAGCCGAGCGAGGCGAGCGGGGGCGGGCGGGCGCATGGCGGCGCAAGAGACACACACACTGAATGGAGAGGGACGTTCGGACGTTCCTTTGGACTATATGAAGAGGTGAACTTGAAGTCTTCGCAGTGACGGTTTGTTGGTTTGCTATCCCTGACGACCCACTTGGCGGAGCTGTCTCAGTTTTCTCTTTCAGGGTCTTCCACTGTGGGCTTTGTATATCCAAGTTAAAAAAGTATTTTGTTTGGTTGATTTATACAGGGGTAACCATCAGGATTTCAGGCCAATTGACTTAAACAAACATGACCAAGCGGTCCACGTACAATCAATCCAATTTGTCATTCAAGTTTCAATCATGCATTCGGCTTTGTGAGGGTGATTTATAGCATCGGCCTTGCCACAAAAGCCAGGAGTTCTGCGAGGGGCTGTAGTTCTCCCAAGGATGAAACCATTCGATCTTGAAAGCCGTATTTGTTGCCCGCCGAAGGCATCCGTTGCCCGCCAGGTGGTGCACTTCCACCCCCGGGAGCTGCGTTCCACGCGGTATCCTGCAGTATCTGCCGTCCCCGCGAAGAGCAAGCGCTGGACGACCAGGTGACAGATGTCCATACGGACCCGATGTGTCGATGGATGGTGAATGGATGGATCATCTTGCAAGGGGCATGGCTGAAACACCTATGGGTGGAAGTGGGATTGGCTGAAGTGTTTCTTCTCAGCTGCAGAGTCCAGATTATAGCTGACGTGACTAGCTGCCGTTGGCACTTGTTGTGATCTTGGACACATCAAGGATGGACCAGATCGGGCATGTTGGGGGATCAATGAAGAGGAAGAGATGGCGGATCTCCGAGAACTCTGAGAACTTGGCGTGCTTGATCAAAGTCAGATCTCACATAAGCTTGCTCGAAAGAAACAGAGATCGACTTGAGCCATCCAACGGCCGCAGGGTTTATTGAGCCATCCAACGGCCGCAGGGTTTACATATTATGTTTACATCAATCTGACAGGACTGGCATCAGGTTTTGTTTCAATGACAAGTGTCCCCAGAAATACTGTAGACCTTTGTCACTAACAGTCCTTACTCTCAGGATAGCTAGGTGCTTTGTTCCCTGTCAGAGCTTTTGGTTGGAGGTCTGCAGTTGCCTTGGATGAGGAAGACGGTTCCATTTTTGTTCACTGGAAGCAAAGGGTTGTTTTAGACCCGGAGAGAATAGAAGATTGGAACCCTGGGGAGAGGCCCCACGCATTTCCAAAGATCACAGCTCCGCAACACATGGACTTTCCTTGAGAACAGACATGAACAGACAAACATTAGTTCTATAGGAGTGAGTTCGATTTCAGCATCCGCTTCCAGGTGCGTTGAACTCTTGCAGTTGATTCGGATGGAAAAGGATCAACAACACCCAGGCCCATGCATCAGATATTTTTAAGATTGTGTTTGAAGGGCCTGGCACTGGCCAAACGCACTACAGTCCTGGCAGTCGGGGCTTTCTGTTCCCAGGAAGCTGGAAAGGTCAAGGTGAAGAGAGGCTTCGTTTCTGCCATCTTTGGGCTCAGTGGGGGGCACGGCACGTGTCTCGTGCGCCTCCGTGGAACCAGGCGCGCGGCACGGAGCGGCTCCGTGCCGGCGAGTCCGCGGCGCATGTGGTGACCAAAGTGCTTCCACCAAGCTATTGTGTGGGTTTGTCGGCTTTTCACAGTAAGTCTTCATTTTACGACTTAGAGAGCAACTTCCGAACTCGTTGGGATTTTTCCAACATATTCGATGACAGTCGACGTCGTACCGTCGACGAAGACATGTTTCGATCAAAAAGGTTTTGCTTTTCTTCTCTTGGATGGATTTAGGATGGATTTGGGTGCTTCACTTTCTCACTTTGTGCCCAAATTGGTTCCTGAATGATGAGATCTTTGATGATTTATGGGTGGCTGAGCTGTTTGGGCGATAAAAGAAATGCAATTCAAACCCGACGATGTCGGTCGCACCATCTCTGGACCGCGTGGTTGTTTTGGGCTGTATGCCAATCGAAATGTGCGGCACATGCTGCGCAGATTGTACTTCACATTTGTTAGTCACACAATTTGCGAGGCGAGGTTATACTTATATATATATTAATCATATATTATGTGTTGTTTAGAAAAAGGAGCCTTTCAGTACAGCAGAGGCTTCTCTTCGTCAGTGAGGGTGCAAGTTGCGCTATTATGAGCCTTTGAGTGTTGTCTCTTCTGTTTGTCAGTGTTGTCTCAGAAGTTGTATCTGCATGTTCTGTTTGGAACCACCATGGATCGGCAAGCTACAAATCTATCGCGCCTCGACACCATGCCTCGAGCACTGCGCGCCTCGACGCTGCTAAAGCGTCCAGGCAAAAGAGAGCGAAGCTGCTCCCATGGGGCCAGTGAAGGTGGAGTCGGTTTTCAGAGTCCCGAAAGGGACTTGAGAGGGCGGAGGGCCACTGTGGGGATTTGGCACAGATCTTGTTTGCATTTCTTTTATCCAGGTTGCTGCAAACGAGCATTGGGAAGATGAAAACTGGTTGCAATCCACGCTGTGTGGCGGTTCGGAGGGAGAGTGGGTTGGTCTCAACATGGAGGACAATTAAAGATTCAAGGCCCAAGGCTGTCAACAAAGGGACAAGCATAATATGAGGTTTAGCCCGCCCCCCATTGCTCCTCCATTTGGATTCCACAACCTCTTTGAGGCCTGGGGGGTTGAGTTGAAATATCATACATTCAAACGTTGCCCACCTCGAGCCGAAACGCTTGCCATGGTTCAGTGACATTCTACGCCTTTCTTGGAACAAGAAACTGAAGGGTAGCATGTTTGTGGTTCAGAGCCTTACCATAGACATCCATAGACTCTCGATACATTCTATCCAGATCGCTCATTGCAGATAGAATCGTCCTTGTCCAGAAAAGCACTGTAGTTGTTCCCTCCGTTTTGCAACATGTTCACGTGCAACCACCTCATCGCATCGTCTTTGTCGCGACCTTTCGCTATTGATCCAGGTGACCCATGGCCTAATGCAAGGCGCTGTGATGCCACCCAAGTGACTGCTCTCAGACCTGTCAAGAAACTTCGTCGCGACTCGGGGGTCTTTCAGGGGGTTCCCCCACAATGCCTCGTTTTCTGGTTGTTGTCCACCGAAGGTTGGGGGGGCAACAAGCAAAGATTCATGAATTGGCAATCGACATTTGACCGGAGTGGAATTTTAAGAGTTGGAACCGTTTCGGATCAAGACGCTGTTAAACTCTTAAACGGTGTGATCGGATTGTGTGAGTTCGAACATGACTCGCCTTTGTACCACCTGCTGAGAAACAACACATGTATAAATCATGTATTAACTGTGTTCACCTTTCTCAGACCAAAAACGCGAAGCCGTGCCAAGGCAGCCCCATGGTGAGAGAACATCGGCAAGCCGTCCATCTTCCGCCGGTTGCATGGTGTGAGGCCTCAGGCCATCGCCAGTTCCGCTGCAGCCCGCCGGCACGGCTCCGCCCAGGTCACTCTTCCGGGCCAGACGCTGCCAATCCATGGTGTCAAGACCTACGTCTCAACGTCCAAGGCCGTCCAGAGTCTTTGTATGTCGTACTTGAAGCATTTGGAGGCCGCGTTTCGGAAGGTCGTCATGCATGCATGAAGCCCAAAAAAAAACTAAGGACCTGTGTCTCAAAAAACTCGTAAGGAGGTAACCCGGATCTCATGTGTTTCTTTTGATGAAAAAAGATGGAGAAGCACATTCATGCAATGGAAATACTAATTTTGTAGTACGAATCTCATAGATGTCCAACACATTCTCCCCCTATCACCCCTAGCCGTAGCCTATCTATCTTCCCACAGTCCAAATCAGTCCTCCAGCCTTTGGTCCGCCCTGCTGGTCAGGCGGAGCGTACTGGTGGCTATGCCCAGGTTCGGCGCCCCTCGCTGTTGGCTTACGCCGAGTACAAGGAGATGGGCGATGGGCGTGCCACAGTTCCCACGAAGTGTCTGGTACTGCAACCAGTGGTTCCAAAGACTCAAACCAATTCAAACCATGGAATCTAGAAACATTGGTCAACCTTATGCATCATATATGACATACGCATCGATACTTCAAGGGGAAGAACGTATTTTTCTTCTTACTGGGTCGTACAGATAATGCCTATGGATGAGCCTCATATGTGGATCTGCCTGGGATCCAAGCTTTGGAGCGGAAGAAATCGAGCCAAACATCCCATATCCTAAGCAGCGCAGCTCGTTGAACCGGTCTTCTCTGCCCGTCCGGACCAGCCTTGGAAGGACCGGGTTAGAAGAAGCAGCTGCTCGAATGTGGCGCCGGGACACTCAGAATGTGACGCCATGCCGGAAGTGGACATGCTCTCCTCACGTGCAGCATCCTGTAAACAAGACTATGGCCCAATGCACTCCGAATGTTGGGTGCAGGGAGTCTTCTAACTCCGTATACTGCATGGAACAGGATCAGCTTAATCCACATGGCGATAAATGTCCCTGGATTCTCCGGTGGGTTTGGAGCTCCTTCGAGCGACTTTGAAACAGTGAAACGATATGAACCGTCTCACGTGGACCGTTCGTGCGTGAGCAACGGTCCAAGCTTTCCATAAGGAAAACAGCGAAATCTCGATCAAAAGCACCCAAAGTCACATTCTTCCCACCCCAAAGCAACAGAAAATGCATGACTCCTGATACGCCCAGAATACATGGCGGAAGTGCATGTCTTCTTATGGCTTCTTAGTGGACCCTTGCAACCCCCGAGTGCCACTGGCACAACTCGCCGCTGAACTCAGGGATGTGATGGTGCCCAAGGCCGTCAACAGCATCCGCTCCCAGGTCGTGCGGTGACCGCCACGGTCACGGAAGGGGCGGTCCGCGGTTGGAAGAACGCGGACGGAACGGATGAGAAGGGTGAACAAGGGAACGCCCACGGTGAACGGGGTGCACCCCCCAGGCCGGCAGGTGAGGGATTGCTTGGGCAAAAAAGAACACGCCAGGCATTTGGAGCTTTGAATTGAATCTGGACCCTGATGCTCCTCATACAAGCTGCCCAAGTATAGTATCATGTGAAAAAAAGACGTGGCGGAGTTTTGATGTGCAACAAAGAACGTTAGGATACCTCGGTGGGTGCAAATACGTCGACTTGGGCGATATCATGCGATGTCTAGGAGCAGCCAACTAGGAGCAGCCAAGGGGATGTTTTGAGAGCAACCAGTCCTACACAGTGCCTGAAGTGCTCAGCTCAGCCAGCAGATCGGGCTGGCAAGCCAGGCTTTTGATTGGTCAAGTCTCAGGGTAGTTCGACTTTTGGCTTATGTTCCGTCGCCTCCTCGCTGAAGCCAAAACCTAAGGGCTTTTCAACAGCTCTAAGCTCCTGGAGCTACCATCATGTCATCTTTCATATCCAACGAGACCATCTGAAAGATAACATCATGGTAGTCATCATGGTTTTGTTATATCCTTGGCAAGCATGAAGATCTTTCCTATCGCAGCTTCAGGAGCTACATCCGCCTCCGAACGACCCGAGGGTCGCTCCTCCCGGCCAGGTCACCGATGCCCGGCGGACCGCCGAGGAGGGCGCCGACGCCAAGCTCGCCGACGCCGTGTCACGGGCGCGCGGCCGGCGGCCATCGGTGGTGGAGGTGCCCGAGGGCCGTCGGTCGATGCCGCGGAAGGCGGAAGCTCAGGAGGTTGGAGGTGTGGCTTTAGTCTTGAGATCTCTTGGGAGAGTGGGGTGGATTTTGCCAAGCTCCAAACTTCTTTGTCATGAGAAACTGTGATTCTGAAGGAGAGTCTGCGGAATTAGAGCCAAGCTTCTTCCCTATGGGATATACCTGGTTTGGTGAATTGGGAACTGAAATACCCTGTCAGATTGGTCGGCAGATCCGTTTTGCTGCAATCTCCAACTAAAGGCTTGACAATGGGGGGTTCACTAATCGACAGTCCACGTATCCCCAAACCAGGGTATAGGTTGACCTCCTTGATTGTCCATTC